CATTCACACACGTCATCAGCACCCAGACCAAGATAGAGAACAGGTTTCCTGTGACTACCCCCAGGCAGCACTCACCCCGCCCCAGAGGGAACCACTATTCTGACTTCTATAACCACTGATTAGTTTGCCTATTTTTGAACTTCATATAAATGTTTGAGGTATCAGTCGTTTTAAAAAATGATTGGTATGCAGTATTTCATTATATAAATACACGACAATTTGCTTATCTATTCTTCTGTCAACTGATATGTTTAGGTTGTTTATCTATTCTTTTATCAGTTGATATGTTTACGTTGTTTTCAACCATTGGCTATTAAGAACAAATTGATTTAATGATTAAAAGATCATCTACACAGGACATGGCAACAATTTATAAGGCCCCTTAGTACCAGTTATATTCCCACGGACATAATAATATTATGAGAGCTGCAAAGGCCCTGTCTGAGCACACAGGTGGGGTCTGAAACCCCTCCCAGAATCTACTTGTTAGGTGGTGAGACCTGGGGGCCAGGGATCAGGGGAGGTGCGTGTCTGTCAGGAGTGAGGGGCACTTTGATCGATCGATTGATTGATTGCACAAAGTGGTCATCCATTTGTAGAGTTATGTGTTCCCAGAGTTGTATCCATTTGTGGGTAGGCTTTTTCTAATAAGCCCCATGGTCTAGCAGTGGCCCTGATTTAAGGTAGGTGTGAAAACGAATGCTTGGGCTGGAAAATAGACTAGGTTTGCGAGAGAGGAAACAGGCTGATCTCTTAGGAAGTTATTGCAATGGTCAGAGCAAGAGGCGACAGCTGCTTAAACCAGGTTGGTAGAAATGATCAAAATGGTGGATTTGAAAGGATCCACAGGATTGTCAGTGAATGTGGGATGGGTGAGACCAGGGTCAAGGATGACCTCAGAGTGAGTCAGGTTTGGGGCCTGAAGGACTGTTACAGGGAAGATCCCATCTACTGAGATGGGTGGAAGGTGTTCTGGGCGGGGCATTGAGTTCCGGTTGGGGAGGACTGAGGTTGAGATACCTGATTAGACATCCAAGTG